GCGTCACAGCTTATGTGAGTGTATATATATGAGTGTGGGAGAGTATGTGTGTGTATATGCCTTGGTGTACATGTCTACTTTTCTCTGATAGTTGCTGCATTTTCGTTCTCCATTTTTGTGCCTTTTTTGGGCTTGCTTTGAAGTAATTGGCAATGCAAGGCTGCCAGTCGATTCGAACCCAGCAACTCAGTTTTGAGTTTAGCATAACCTAGACCTAAAGCCGTGTTATTGCATACGGGACCACAACGCCTCTAGCTGAAAAAACAAATTTTGCTTGCCAAAAATGGTTTAAATTTCATTTTTTAAGTATATTTCTTTCCTGTTAATATTTTGAAATTTTTCTATTCTATTTTCTATTTAAAATGGGTAACTGGCCAAAGCATAAAACAAGGCTTGAATTCATAAATAATCAAAAGCAATGCTAAAAGTCTGGCCTTGAGGCGGGACATTGGCTTAGAACGTGAATCGTGCCGCCAGGTTGCAGTATACAATACATACAAATTTTGTCTTTCAACTTGCAGTTGCTCAAGCTCAAACAAACTCTATGCCCATATTCAATTAAAACTCTGCCCTCTAACTCATTATGCTGCTCAAGCAGGCACAAAGCAGTGCACACAACCGATAAGGACACACACACATATGCATATGCACATATATTAAGCATACGTAATAATCTTTGAAATTGCGCTCAATTGGTTTTGAAGTTGAGCCCGGGGCACATTTGGCATGTGCGGCAAGTCTGGTCGGGGGCAATTGCTACTTGAAGCACCTTTAGCACTCCCATCTTTATTGATAATATTGTCGCTCGGCAATTTGAAAAGCCCCTAAACCGCACCCACCCACACACTCTAACACATACACATCCACCTCAGGCAGCTGTGTGTGTGTGTGTGTGTGTGTGGGTGATGTTGTCTGGTAATTTTCAACGCGCATGCTGCCCCGCGCCCTGCCATGAGCAACCCTTGCCTGTCTATCGAACTTTGTCGCCCAGACAATTTTGTGAACTCCGCTCAGGTTTCGTATTTTTGTATTTTTTATTTTTCATATTTCGTAATAGGACAAAATCCCCAACAATTTTGTCGTTGAACTTATCGAAATAGTTTTCAGAACATGACGGCAAACTTGCGTGTCGACAGACACACACCCACCCACACACACAAGCGCGCACACACCCACACTCACACAGAGCGCCACTTAGACACGCTTGTAACTGTAGCTCTGATAACTAAATTATTTTATATGTTAGGCTGTGCCGCCATTGGGTCCCCTGACTTATCGATATGCGCGCACATTGATTGGCGGTCAACTTTGAATAGCCATTGCCAGCAATAATTACTAAACGCTTTTATTGCTGTGTCAAGCTGATAACATGACCAGCCACGCCCTTTATATAATTTATGCTAATGGGTTTTTTTCGAATTGCCCTTTTTTTATCATCTTTTATTTATGGAGCCTGTAAATAAGCATGATAATAACTTTATAGTGTTAAATGGCGCACAATATCAAAAGGCAGTCCGAAAAAAAGGATACCCAAGCCGAAAACCCTTTCAAAGCCGTTACAGTACATTAACTTTGCCAGCGACACATTTCGTCCGTCGAGCATATTTTCTTATCTAAACCCAACACACCCACAGACGCATATGCACACACTCACACGCACACACATAAGTACACTCGGGTTCTAGCAGACTTCCGGCAACATATTTCATTACACAGAACGCATAAATCATCACAAAAAATGCTAATTAACGAGCGGAACCTCCCTCTAGGAAGGCAGCACAAGTATAATGCTCCCTCTCTATCTCTTTCTCTCTCCCTTTCTCTCTCTCTCACTCTCTCTCTGTCGCCCACACACACATAGTATTACCATCAAATTGAAACCCGCTTAGCATATATCATTTGACTGCCAACATTTGGGTTATTTAATTTGACTGGAATTACCAGCCAAACAGCGCAAGTTAATCGCCCAAAATCGTTTTATGTACAATTAATGAATATACTATCAACTGAGTATTAAACGAATCCCAAAGAGCTGCAAGGATAGCTTAAAATGCCAAGAGGCGCTTGGCACAGTGGTTAAAGTAGACAACTTAAGTGACCCAAATGCAGAAACCAAAGTATCAACAAATTTATACAAGCATGTCTTCTCTAACTTGCGAGCTTCAGTATGCCTTTAACAGCCTTTCATTCTGTTAATATTTATGTTATTAAATAGTCTCTAGTAATTGAAATTAAATCGTAACATAATTATTTACTAACTGTCAAATTAAAAGCTTTTGTTCTGTTAATTAATATGTAATGAATATTACTATATTAATTCCGTTAAATTAACTTAAATATAAAAATACTTGTTTGAAATCGAATATTACAACGCAAACACTTTCAAGTGCTGGCAATAATACAATTAAGAAAATAATTTTAATTTAACTGAGATTTCAAATAGAAACTAATAAACTGACATAAATAAAAGAACAATTTGAAAATTCTTTAAATTATTTGGAAGGGCATGTAAATGAGGAGAAATTATTTTAAAAGCAGTTTATGTATAACAAATTGAATACTTTTAATCAGAAACTCTGCCACAGTGCGCACCATTTAAAATAGCAGCAGTTGGCACTCGGGGTTGGCAATAAAATTGGCTTATTTAATGGGCGACCACGTTAGCAGCGATTGCAGTTTGGTAGCCTCATTAAGAAACCATCAGGGCCCGAAAATGGTAGCTGGCAACTGGGGAGCTGGCATCTTTGCCGGCAACTCGCATGTGTACACAGCTTAACCCGCTCTCTCTTTCTCTCTCTGTCTCTTTCTCTATGGGCCGTGTCCAGTGCGGGTGCCTAGCCAGCATGTAAAGTCCATGAGTCTATAAATGAAATCGGAGCAAGCAAAAACTGCGAAATGGCATTGGAAGCGCATGACCAGCTTGTGTTTTATGCAAATTCAATTGTTTCCTGTTGCATTGCAAATGCATTTCCCTTCAAGCTGATGCCCGGCTAGCAGCCCCATCAGACATCAGCCATCAGCCATCAGCCAAATGGCAAATTCATTCCGCCAGCCGATAGATTGCTGAAGGCATGTATGCCAAGTGCTTGAGGCAACAATATTCAACAACAACCTGCCAGAAAATGCAAATTTATACCAAAGCAGAAGTCATAAACAGAAGGCAGCAGCAATTACATTTTATCATTTTCCCTCTGTCATCAATTTCAAGTATAGCTGACAAATACAGTTTTCTATTAAAATACAACAACCATTTTGCAAGAACTTAGGCTGCATATCGTAAGGTTTTGCCTAATGAGACTTGCTTTACTTGTTTTCGTTCCCAGCAGCTCTTATTAAACTTAGCTCTCAGCTAAAAAAGCACATACATGTACGCTGAAAGCTTCTTTATTTCTAAAAGTAGATAGCTCAAGTAGAAAAGCTCTAACAACCTTATAAGATAACTTAATTTTTTTTTACTTTTTGAAACCAGTTGAAAGCACTTGAAAGCCATCATCATTTTTCCCTCTCTCCCAACAAAGTATTGGGATCTGCTTGAGCACAACTTCTTAACAAAATGTCGCAGGCTGAAAGTCGCACTAATTATTCAGTCATTACAGGCTTCAACTCACGCAACCGCAAAATCTGCGGCAAACAACAACAGCAGAAACTGCCACACGGCAAACAAAAAGCCAAGCAAACAAATTAACCGTCAATGACATGCAAGTTTAACAGCGCCCTCCAACCGCGAATGTACAAACAACGCACAAATTTACACACACACACACATCCTTAAGTTAGCTCACTCTCGCGTGTGTTTGACAATTTGCATAGAAATATGCACACAAAATAATAATACCTGCCAATAAAAATAATTGACAACTGACAGTAAAAATAAACAAACGCACAGACACACACACACAAACTCCCACACCTATACACCGACTCACACACACACACACACACACACTAGTACACACTATTTGTGTGGCACTTAAGTAAACAAATATTAAATAAAATATGTGCTTGCCACAACAACCCCCATAATACCCGGAGTAAACTTTAAGCAGCCGTACAGCAGCTGTCAAATGATTAGGGAATTGAAGGAGAAACGCGCGTCGCACATGGCGTATGCTTAATAAAGTTTACACCTCTCCTTGATTTGATGTACGTGTAAGCTTTGGGTGTGTGTTCTGTGTGTGCGTGTGTGTGTGTGTGTTGTGCAAGAGTGTGCGCTGATGGCACGTGATATTCATTTTAAATAGAGCTAAAACGCTGTAATAACTGTAAGGAGTATACCCTGTAAACAGGCTAAAGTGCTTGATCGGCAATTGAAATGTGAGTATTGACTCGCAGTCACACACTCACAGACGAATACGCACATAAAATATACTATCACACACACAAAAACATACACATAACTCGGTCAAAACTCAACCGACTTTCTGGAGCTATTGCTCAATTTGGCTTCTTAATGTGGAAACCTTATTCTTAGTCAAAATTCACCTGAAAAATTAAATGATCAATTGGTATCCTCAAATATCCTATCCTCAATCCTATTCATATATTTTTAGAAATACGAAAATATATATTTAACATAAATAAACTCAAAAATAATGTTGTTTTGATTTACATGTTTGACAAATGCTGCTGCTGTTTGTATGTTATGTAAAAAAGCCTTGCTGAAGATTTGATGATATTAACATTTTTAAAATCATTTAACAGAGCTACAAGCAACAGAAAAAATTAAGAACTATCGACTATCGAAACGAAGCGGGGTTAAATAATATTGTTATTTCAATAAAAAAAAATTGGGGTTTAAATGCAGTTGCCTTTTAATAAATAAATCAAAATTACTTGTATCAAAGCGTGACATGCCTGCCAAAATAGGCAAGGACTTTTGACATGTCACGCATACATATAATGATTTAAGTTCTGAGCCCAAATCAATTGGTTTATCGGTGTGTAATGAAGAAATTAAACTGTCAAGTTGTCAAGCTGTTGCAATAGAGAACTTGCATGTCAACATGGCAACAGACATGACAACAACAGGTTTTATAGCTTATATATAATATCAATATTACAAACTTAATCAAAGTGAGCTTTTAAATGTTGGTTATTTATTTGCCATTCAACTATGTATATAGCTTTTCTAAGTGTTTAAATTTTGGACAACTCTGTTAATATAAAATATACCCAATCCAATAAGCCGGGCTAAGTTGTAGAGGTAAGTCAAATTGCATATTGGCAGCGTTTAAAATCAACTATTTTAATTAAATAGTAGCCTTGCATTTTTCTGACAGCTGCCACGCCCGCCTTCAAGCCAAATACGCTTTCCATTAGACATGGCTAACCTCATGCCTCATAAACGTAGCACTAACCCAACAACGGCTTTTGCTACACCTACATCTATATCTACATCTATATCTGGATCTACAGCGACTTGCAGCTAACAAGGAATTATGCGGCATTGCTTTCTCGCACAGCGACCATCCAAGCGCACTTCATTTGCTGTGCACAACCCACAACGAACACGCATACACACACACGCAAAACCACACCCGCCCATTCAACCCCGCCTTTCGCTTCTTCTATGCTTATGACGTGCCCGCTTGCTCGTTTGCTGCGGCATTAAAGTTAACAAATAGAGCTTAAAAACTTGCTGCGTGTACGACAGCCACGCCCCTTTCGCCTGGAGCCTGCCCCCTGCCTGGCTGCCGCACGCCTCATGTGTGCGGTGCCCTGACTGCGACTGTATTGGTTTAATTAGTTTACGCGCTGTATAATTAAAATATATATTGTAAATCAACTTAAGCTGCTCGCATTGCCGCAAAATTGTTTGGTTTAATTTTATTAACTTGTGCAGCTTTAACAGCAGTTTTTTCATTCATTATTCTATTTCAATCATTTATATTTATTTCATATTTAATTATTTGCAAGGACTAACCGCATTCTGTGCCACTTGCGTAATTAATTAGCTGCTTGTCTTTCTGGCCAAAAGTGTCACAATGTCAGCTTTCTAATTGACATGCCATTATTGTAATTAAAATAACTCATACGCAGCGTTGTTCAGCCAACCCAGCAAACCACCCCCGCCCCCGCCCCCTCTCGCTCAGCTTGGTTTACTGTGATCAATTTTAGCCGGAATTTGTCTGCATATGAGCATTTCTCTGGCCCATAAATCAAGCTGCGTGCCGCGTGTGTCCCTGTCACATGTAGCTTCGCATTTATTTATAAACCCGCTAGAAAAAAGGCAATGTCCATAAATTGTGGCAATCGAGCGTGGCTAACTCAAAGATACCCTGTTCTTGAATTTTGCTTATATTACATTTCGTTTTTTCGTTTCTTCGGGAAGATATATTTTAAGTCTAACATTTTGATAGCTATTAGATACGAAAGTAGTATTTATGTTCCAAATTGTCTGTAAGCAATTTTGTCTGACTCATGAAATACTTTATCAGCTCCAAGAATCATCTGCTGCTTGGTTTAATCACGTATTGGGTAAGCGCTAAGCAAAATGATATATTTTTCCATAATAGATATGGATATATATTATATTGGAAATTGTGACAATCTATATATGACATAGGATTTGCTTTTTCTATAAATATCTATCTAATTATACGCAACAAAGACAAACCAACCAAAGCATACCCCCCTTTCTACTCTTTCTCTCTATGGCTACAGGGTATCGAAAATAACAACGTTGTCTGTTGCTGACGCTGTCATTTGTTCGAGTCTCGTTTTGATTTTTGCGGCAAAATAATTGTCGTTTAGGTAATAAAATTTGATTTATGATTTTAGTATTTTCACACACACTTTCACTTTCGCATTTCCCCTTTTGATTTTAATGATGCGCAACAAACACTGGACACACCGCCCACCTCAACGTCCGACTGCCCATATATAAATCATATTTTTATGGCCAACAAAATATATAATGAAATTAAATATAAAGCGTTCGTTCGCTTCAAGTACAAAGACACGACAAGAGCTCCCAAAGCAACAATAACAATTATGACAGCAACAACAACACGTAAAATAAAGTGTCAGGTGTCGGTTGATTTCCTTTTTTATGCCACCTGTTCGTACTGGGTTTTAATTATGGCCACTGAGGCGTCTAATTGCCGTAAAATATGAACTTACCGCCCGGCAATTGCAATGATTAATGCGCACGCTCTGCGTATACGTAATGCGTATACGTAATATTTGAAGTTTGATTGCTTGAGCTGGCGACCCACGCTATGGCAGTGCAAATGTTTGTAAACTAATCAAATAGTACGAATCGATTGATTTTTAATTAAAATTGAGCACAAGAGAAAGGAGTTGACATCCAGCAAACTTTCGATTTGTATACCCTTTCATAGAAAGGGCTATAATAGTTGAGGATTATAAATAAACTGGAATGATAGAAAGAATCGGTTAGTGCCTGTAGATAAACAAACGTTAGGGCATACAGAAATTGCGATTATAAGCTTGGCTGCAAGTGTTTTATATTCAGCTAGTCACAACGACTTCATCTGCTTAGCATGCCATTAAACATAGGGTATTCAAATAGTTTGCTACTTCAAATCAGCACTTTGCAAAAGTGTCAAACACAAATGCTTGTGTGTGTGTGTAAGCCACTTGTGGTGCAAGTTTCTGTGGTTGAGCTAAGTTTAGATGGGATCAGTGTTTGAAATCGATTTAGTAGACCTCAAATAAATTGCATTTATTTTATTAACACTTCGAGCACCTTTAATTGCAGTTGTTACACAGATGTAGTTGCAGTTATCCAGGCGTATTATCAATTGCTTTCTGGGTTGATAAATGCGCTACACAAAACAGAGAAAATTTCAATTAAAAAATAGTTCATGCCGTTATTTAATGCGCTACAATTTGTTGGCTCGGCCAAATCACAGCCGACAAACTTGGCCTCAATTTGTGCTGGCGGGCCAAACAAATTGGTTAAGCAAAGCGCAAGGGATTGCAGCCTGAGCTGATCGCCACGTGCCGGACTAAAAAAAAATCACATTAAAAGCCGTCCACTGGCAGCTGCACTAAGGAAAACAAGCAAACGTGTTGCAGTCACATATAACCGACTGCGAAATACTCGCCTAAAGTCAACTCTGAAATGAATATCAGCTACAACGCTTTACCAGTAAGCATTTAAAACTGTCCGACTTTATATATTTTAAATAAAACCAAATATATATTCCATATTTAAATGCCTTCCGACGTCGCAGACCCCTTTCTGATCCCTTTTTAAAACTGTAGGTCACAAACTATGGCTCAAATCTGGCGTCCGACTTTATCTGCATTGAATGTAAACATGTATATAGTCCAAATTAAAATGCCTTCATCTTTAAACGTATTGAGTTCTTACGCTCAGCCGGATATTGCGCAAAACCAATATACTCTCTTCGTTTCTTGTGAACGGGTATAACAAAGTGCACCACTCAACCATCCAAGCCAACCACCACCCACCACCGCCAGCACCCGCAGCCACCCACCGCACAATGACAACATTTGCTGCGGCGCACAATTTTTCACTTAGTTTGCAGAAATTGTAGTTTTGGTCGTGTCGTCCTTAGCGTTCTTTTTGTTTTGCTTTGTTTTTTTATTCGGCTGCGCTTTGTGCAACTTCGCGCGCGCCCTGGCCAATCACGCATTTGTCCCACAGCGAACGGCGCAGCACAAAGACAAAAGATAACGATTGATGAGCGAGGGGGCGATGCGGTGGAGGAATGCGGATTTAAGGACGCAGCACAAAAAGCATAACAAAACGGCCGGCAAAGGACGAGAGCGCCAAAGAAAAAACAAATAAACACCAAAAGCCAGCGTAAAAGCAAAAGTATTTAGAAAAATAATGATCGAGTACAGGTTATCCTACGGAACAAATATGAGCCAATAGAACTAGTTAAGAAGTTAAGAATAAACAATTTAATAATAAAAATGAAAAGCGGCACGTGACAAATAATATGTCAAACATTCTTAAAATGATAGAGAAAAAACGAATCAAAACAAAAGTAAAAACATGAATAAATAACAAAACAAAGCACTTCTTCCATGTTATAACCTTTTGAGAATTATAAATGTCAAAGAAAACAACAAAACTTAAAAGTAATCCCACAAAAAATGAGTATTGCCCATTTAGCCATTTTGGTGCAGGGTATAAAAATGTGAGAAAAACAAAATCGAATGCAATTTATTTTCTAGTTACTGTTAAGCTGATTGCAGCTGCGATGGAGCCGGCGATGCCAACTCTGGCCCCGGTTCCTGGCAATGGCTAAAACCTTTGAGCTCTAAGTTGCCACACGCCCCCCCCCCTCCCCCCCCCCCCCCTCACCAACACGTTCCATTACAAACCCTTCATCCTTTGCCTGTCATGCCATAAAAAATAAATAAAAGCATTTGCCCAGCCGCGAGTTTGCAGTTAAAGGCAAAAAAGACGCTTAAAAACATATCAACAGCGCATAACTCTGATTGTATTCACTGTAGTTGTTGTTTTTTTGTTGTTGTGACAGTTGTTGTAGTTGCTGTGTCGGGGAGCGAGGGGAAACGGGCAAAGGGTAAAGGGCTGGGGGCTGTGAGCGAAAATTCCAATTTAAAAGGCGCGACAAAATTGCAAATCAAAGTTTTAGAGACGACGCTTTTGAGTGTTCCGAGTGTTTTGTATGAGTTGCTTGATTGAATGCATGATTGACTGACAGGCAGCTCTATGGAGAAGGGTGGAGAGAGTGAAGACAGTTTGACAGGCAGTGGACAATTGACAAATCGTCAAACCCCAGAGAGGAGAACGGAACGGCAAAACGTTCGGTTAATTTGAGGCAATCAGAAACCAAATTGAACCTATGGCCAACAGTTCGAATGGGTTTTCGAATGTGTTGAACGAATCGTCTGGTTTTTGTTGTTGTTGTTGTTGCTATTGTTGTTTTTCTAACCATTTTCTGAAAGGGTGTTTTATGCCCGCGTCGAACATTTTGCAAGGATCAATCAATGTTGGACATCAGCAGACGCTTCTGACCCCAAATGAGTATTTGAGTGTTGACTTCAATTGCCCCATTGATGACAACAATTGGAAGGGCTCCATAAATGGTTTTGTTAAACTCGTTTCGTCCTTGGCGTGGAAAGTGCAAATTTTGCTGCCTGCCACTTGAAAAGTTGATAACAGGTTGATAGGTGGGCTCTCACGCCTTGAAACTCACTCTAACAACAAATTTCCATAGGCTGAGCAATACAGTGGGCAAAAGTAAATAAAATATATAAAAAAATATGCTTAAAAATAAGAAGCAGTGCTTTAAAACTACTCTGAATGTATATCATTTTTATTGATAAAGGATCAAAACAGCTATGCAAGCATATTTAAATAAATAATACGCCTCTTGAACTCCCGTGGTTCGGGTCTATCGACTGGCATTCGATATGTAATACCTTATTCAATACACTAATCAAAATATAAACGAACATTACAATTTTTGCTAAAATGATTAAAAACATCATTAATATGCAAGCTTCATTTATTATATTTTTGATAATATCTCCGCCTCAAGCCAATTCAATTGACTAACAGACTATTCCAAGATCTTTCTGTTGAATTTTTGTGGAAACTTTTAAAACTAACTAATAGATGTGCTTTCAAGAGAGCCACACAAATTGCTTGCTAATTTTGAAACCAATCAACGGACGCAATTGCACAGCCAACACACAACAACAACAACAACAAAAACAACACGAAAGATAGTAAGCGGCCAAAAGTCCAAATGTCTGGCAACCAACCCACCCTGTTGATAGTGGACCAATGGCCAGTCCAGCAAAAAAACTGCCCATTAGCACGTGCTGTCCATGTCAATGGC